GCTCACACACCTCTACCCACCACAGCACATCTTCTCACTGTCCTTGCCTCACCTTCCTTCACAGTTTCCAGCTTTATTCTTATCTTGGCTTCTTCTGTCTTCTGTGATCCCATCCGGCCCCTCCACCTTCCTCCACGGGGCCAGGAGGACGCAGAGCCAGGAGAACCGGCTTCACAATGCAAAGCCCCAGCCCCGTCTCCACCTCCGCCTGGCTACACCCCCATCAAATGCCCTCGCAGAGATTTTGTAAGGACCCAAGCGACAAACCTTCATTCCCATCACTTTGTTCTCATCTCTATGTGAACTGTCTGGACAACCTTAGACAAACTTTGTGGTCTTAAAATTGCACATTTTAGCTATGGATTATGAAATCAGTAAAAAGTTTACAACTAACTTCCAACGCTTTCAACACCCCCTGAGACTGTGAGGAATGTAACTAGGAGGCTTTAAGGCAACTAAAGGTTGACCCAGTAGTAGTGCAGATGTTTGTGAATACCTTTGTAACATATCTCCCTTTGGAAGGAAAAACTGTGTATGGTATTGTCTTCTTAGGCCCAAGTCTCAGACTGTGTCTATAACAAATCATCCCTTAAGTAAATAAAAACGTAAAACCTGTGAGGCAGGTTGGCAAACTCTTACCATAAGGGCTAGATAGTAAATATTTTGGGCATCACAGACCATATGGTCTCTGTCACAGCTACTCAATTCTGCTGTTGCAGTGCTATAATGCACAAACAAATCAGCATAACTGTGTTCCAATAAAACTTTATTTATGCAAACAGGTGGCAAGTTATATTTGGTCCACGGGCTATAGTTTGTTGACCCCAGCTCTAAGGGATGAATGGAGATTGTGGTGACCATTAATGACTCAGAAAATCAGAAATTATGATTGGATGGCAGGTTTCAGGTGATTCTTCTACAATGATTCTGGTATTATTAAGACTTTTTAGTTAATAATGAATGATACCACCTTTTTGGTTTTTATTTTTCGACTGCACAGTTCTCCTGATGGAAAAATCAGTCAGCTCAAGATTTTATATAGAATGTGGGATACACTGGCCTTTGAAAGTAGATTTGAGTTCTGTAGGTTTGTCGGCAATTGGTGAACCCAGCCTGGCTTCCCACAGCTTGAGCAGAGACAGGATCACTTAGAGGAATCAGAACACCTTGGACAATGTGGAAATAACAACGGCCACTTGACGGGCTGCCTTCCCCGTCACAAACCACGTCCACTGTGATCTCCATTTTATAGAATCCGTGAGGTTTCAGTTGACAGGGGATGAGTGCTTTGCCCAGGACGACATGGTAAGCGTCAGAGCCAGCCGAACGGCCTTCCCCTTGGCCGCAACACCTCGCTCAACACAAGGACCCTGCTTCCCCTGGACATCCCCCTTTCTTTAGGCTCAGAATCAGAGAATAAAAAAGTCTTCTTCCTTCTGCCTTTGCTTTCCAGTGGCTGTTACGTTTAAAAAGCGATCACTGCCCGCTGAGCCAGCCCCTACTGTGTGCCAGGCATGAAGCTTTTATTACATCATAAAATCTATTTTCTTTTCATTTCCAGGACTAAACTACAAAGAGTCAAGGAAATGGAAGCTAAGATAATCAAGCGATTTGCCCCACGTTGCACCCTGTTGTTAATTGTGGAGTCAGAACTCAACATAGTTCTCACCTACTCCGAAGTGTTTTTAACTCATACTACATGGTTAAACTCCCAGACTTTCAAGCCAGACTGTCTGGGTTCAAATCCAAACCCCACTAACGCTGCTTGAGTTACCCTGGGCAAATTGCCTAGTGACTCCGTGTCTTAGTTTTCTGATTTTTCAAATTAGGATCATGATAATGGTTTCCTTCTGGTAGGTTTTCATAAGGAATAACAGGAACATGAAGGTGGGAGCATCACTCTGTATTCACACAGGTACATGTAAGGAGAGCAAGGCCCTCAGAAAAGGGTGGTGAGGCGTTCGAACATAGGCATATAGCCCAAGTGGATTTTGCTCTCTCTGTGGAATATAAGCTCTTTGAGCACTGGAGTTATGGTCTGTTTTGTTCACTGTTATATCCCCGGCACTTAGAATGATGTCCAGCACACAGTAGGCAATAGTGTATGAATGAAAAATGTCCAAACATACTAGAGTCTTTAGATCAGGTTATGACTGGGTTCAAAGTCAGCATAAATAAACATAGCTCTCCTCTTTCTTTACTATTTTTGTATAACATACATTTGAAATGTAAAATTTAATGAGTCTTTGAGTCATCATTCGAAGTGTAATGTTGAAAACTAATGATTGTCTTCATTCTTTCAACGTTCTCAACAAAAGTAGAAGTTAGTGCCAAGGGGAAGCCGAGGTCTGAGCACAGGGCAGGTATGAAGAGGGCTTTCAGGTACACCCTCCTCGTTCTTTGCTAGTCCCAAAGGCGCGTACTTATGTCATTAGTTGTAAAAGTCGTTTCATCGCTTATTTTTTAATCTGTCATTATCACATAGATTTTTATCTTTGAAAGTTTATTTTTACTAAACTTGTGTCTTTTTTAATACTTTGCATTCTAAATCCAGATCAGAATTTAGTGGCAACAGCTGCTGGAGCCACTGCAATAACTGAATTGTGAACCTCATTTTCTTGGAAGGCTGTCCTTGGTGCCTGCACTGCAGCAGTGACAGGGCTTCCAGAGGACAGCAAGGGTGTGGCGGAAAGGGCGACCTCACCCAGGAGGCTGCTCATGCTCCAAGAGGAAGTGTGGACAGGCAGTGGGGGACAGGGTAGCTTCTGGAACAAACCTGTTCGGGCAGGTGGATTTATGGAGGGCTCCTTGGGGGCTGAGCCCCGCGTATTCCCAAGACCACTGCTTAGACGCCGTGGCACCTTGGCAGAAAACCATTAAGTTCTTATTGGATTTATGATGAATATGTGATATTCATTCTGAGTGGTGATTAACCGATACCCCTAACACACAGCAAAGCACTGGGCTTCTAATTTTTCTTCCTGGTTTGCACTGTGTAGATTATTATTTTCATTAAGATTAAGCATCCTCACAGAACTA